CACGTGGCGTGTCTTAAGTGGTCCGTGGAGGACGTATCTGTGATTGACACGTGGCAAGCTCCTGTTGGCCTTCGTGAAGGACACGTGGCGGAACCTGGTTGGTCCACTTGTCAGACGGTGATTGGTGGATAAAAATCCCCTAATCACTTTTCTTCTTAAATGGTAGTGGTTTGCACATTTTGAGAGTATGCTCGGTTGATTCTAGGATAGAGGATGCTAAGGTAGTGTGTTTAGAACTTTTGGTACCTTGAAAGCCTAGTTCACTTGTTTGTGGTAAGAAGGTGTTGCTTCCTATAGTGAATTTGAAGCCAAAAGTGAGTTTTTGCTATAACCATGTGAGGTTTCTTTTTCTAGCCTTCTACCTATATTGCATGAGCGATACATGGATCCTTGACTATCACTTACTCTTATCTAGAACTTGACTTTTATCTCTCGAGATCGAGATCGCGACCGAACCATTTGGGAAGGACAAAGGCATCTTTTCGGGGTGGTTATTCTTTCTAGGTTTTAAGTTTACATTTTCCTTCTTGCTAACCATTTGAGCCTTATACCTTCTTTTCTAGCCATATCTCTAGCTCTGAAGCCATTTGTTTTGTTTTTGTTTCTATTCTTGGTTTCTGTGAAGCATGTGGTACATAGTTTGTTGATGTTTATAGGAGCATAAGTGTGGTTTTTTTTTGTTCTTTTGCTAAGCAAGCATGTGTTGTATATAGTGTGTGAATGTGCAAGTTGAAAATCCATTTATAGTTAAAAGAGGCAAGGACAAAGCAATAAAGGAAAAAAAAAGGAAAGCAATTGCAAATCCAAATGCTTTGAAAAAGTGTAAAAAAAAAAAATGAAAATGAAAAGTACAAAAACATTTTGATGTAGTCACTATCTCCCTTTTTTAGAGCATTGAGGACAATGCTCCAATTAAGCTTAGGGGAAGTGTGTCTACGCTTTTTGTAAATATGCTTGTGACTTTGCATTGAATAAGCTTGGAGGTGTTGGTATTTTGGTTTGAATTTTGTTGATAACTTGATCATGGGACTAAGAATTGGCCATTCTTTTGCTTCACAATTAGGTACACCACCACATTTCAAATTTCTAGCCTACCTTTACCCTTTTTGCCCTTACGATACAACCCTTCAAAGACCTTTTGACCATTTTGGTTGAGTCACAAGTCGGTGGAGGGAGATAGGAGTCAAGCTTATGGAGTGGGTTTGCAAAGTCAAGATGTCGAGTAACCCTAAAATCTCTTCTTTTCTGATTCTTTCGAGGAATCATTGAGATGCTCACTAGAGGTGGATTTGAAACTAGTAGGGAGAACGCGGTAAGATTGTTTGGGATGAAGGTGAGTTGTGTCTTATTAGTTCTCTATGCTTAGCATATCTTATGTTTTAATCAACCTTAGACATCCTTGAGCGTGCACTCCTCTATTTTCTTAGAAAGAATTGCATTCATTTGTGCTTGTTCATTTGCAAAAGTCCATACAAGAGCATTTGTTTTTCTTTTAAATTCCTTTATATGCTTTTCCTTGTTTGTTTGGTTTGGGAGAGTTATGGGGCAAACTCTTAGGAAACCCTTATGAGAGCATCACTCATCCCCAAGGGCGATCTAGGGGTTTAAATGGCTTATCTTTAGTTGCTAAAATTGACCGTGATTCCTTTGAAAGTGAGTTAGTGTATATTCTCATCTCCCCTCTTCTTTTCTTATTTGAATAATGTCATCATTTTCCCTTGGATTTGATTTTGATTTGCTCGAGGACGAGCAAAAGTTTAGCTTGGGGGAATTTGATGAGTGTCACTTATGGCATTCATTTGATGAATTTTTAGGTTGTTTTTACCATGTTTTTATAGCTTTATTTCTTAATAAATGCTTAGTTTTATTCATTTTCTCTTTAATTTCCTTCTTCTTCCTTATTTTATGTTTTCGTCCACTTTTGTGGATTTTCTCGTGTTTTTCCCTTTTATTTGTTCTTTTCCTTTGTTTGTAGGCTTAAGACGAAGCTCGAGACCCGTCATGATGATTTTTCGGGTTGGAAGAGGCTCAAAGTGTAAGGTGGAAGCTCATGCATAGCTCACACGGCAAGAAATGGCTAGCTCCAAGACTTGGTGTTTGCGCTCTCATGCTGCGCTTGCGTAAAATCGTGGTGTTTAACCCACCATAAACCTTATTTTGGGACTGCCATACCTAGTGTTGATCATGAGGAGCGCACCATCCGCATCAAGCACGTACTGAAGAGAAGTCCTGCTCTAGGTGCGAGTGCGCGCACGAAAGTTGGGCGGGCGCGCAAGAAAAGCTTCGCCATGCCACGGAAAGGACCACCGCACCACAGGAAGATCTGCCATGCCACGGCAGGATCTGCCGCGCCACGGCAATCACTGTCGCGCAATGACGATCATCAGGCTACGTGGGCGCGCATCTTTTCTGCGCGGGCGCACCACTTTGGATCCTGTTTCCGTACCTTAATTATTGCGGGCTCGTAAGCTCGTGAGAGGGCGTGTCTGACTTGGTTTATTTCGGGATATTTGCCTTATTTCCTTTGTAGTTAGTTGTATTATAAATAGATTTTTTCTATTATTTCTTCATAAAGAAATTAAGGAATTCATTATGCAATTTTAGAATTAATTCTTACCTTAGTTGAGAGTTTCTCTCTCTAGTTTAGGGTTAGTTTTTAGAGTAGTTTTAGAGAGAGAAAGTGAGGGATTTCAAAGCTGATTTGAGAGATTGAAGATGCAAGGGTGACAATTGTATTGAAGATCTAATTGTTTTCTTTGATTTCATGTTAATTTGATTTGGTTTTGATGATTGATTCTTGATTAGTGTAGTTGTTCTTCAATATTTGTTGATTCTTGATTTCTTTTACTTGCCTTGATTTGATGATGGATTGTAGTTAGTAGTTGCTTGCTAGGGTTTGGGTAAAACTTGTATGATTGATTGATTGTGATTAATTTGGGAATTATGTTGATTGATTGTTGAGATCGATTAAAGCGATTAATGTAAGTTTCCATGTGCTTAGTTTGATTAGGCCTTGAGAACTATGCTAGATTGCATTGTAGATCCTAATGACATGACCACTTGATTTAGGATTTGCAATTGTTTATTAGTTCAAATTGTGATTTTCCTAGTTCTTTATTGATAGAGGAAACCTAGCTTAACGATTACAAGATAGCTCTTATCATTAGTCTTCACAACCATTGATTGATTAGACCTTCCCAAGTTGTTGCAATTGTCATGATTACTTGTTGATCCCCATTCCCTAGTGTTTCATTTGTTCGATTCTTATTTGTTTTGGTAGTTGTTTAGTCTTTCTTCAATCTTGACTTCGACCTAACTTAGGCACTGATTGAAAGCACTTGAACACAACCGTTCCTAGTGGTTCGACCCTTAACTTACCTTTATACTTGTATCTAGGTTTGTTAAGTGATTATAAATTTTGTTTGACCTTAGAGAGGATTAGTCAACGACCTAGTTCACCCTACGCCAAGTTTGTGACCAACCAAATTATTACTTTTCATGCATAAATATGAAGCATTATGTATGTCTAACTCTGTAAATTTTAAAGGACACAGAATATAAACATTACTTAATATTTATAAATGTAAAATAATTACAAAAGGAAAGCATTTTAAAACTTACAAGTTTTGAATTATGTATGCTCTTTTAGAGGGCTTACGGCTAAATATACATAGCGATATATTCATTGAGATGCCTTTAGTATCCTGGGTCATCTCGGATAATCTCCACACTATTTTGTAGCTCGGGGTCATCGAGATAATCTTTGAATTCATCATCACTTGGCTCTACAAGGAGCTAGTTGATCCTATTATGCTTGAAGATCTCTTCGTACCACAATTGGTAAGCGCATTTATACATCAAGGTATGTATTTCACCTTTTGTAGCCCTGGTTACCTTGACTTCATAGTACGTCTTAGAGTAAGGGATAGTCCTTGCCTCTAATTTTTCATCGAATGTGGGAGGAAAGGTCGTCTTGATCTCCCTAGCCCAACCTTGCCAACCAAGACAACGTTTGCCTTATCCTCTTTCTCTTCCAAGTGAGGAAGTACGAAGTTCTTCAAAGATCACCGTTTGCACCCGCTTGAAAAGCTCTATGCCTAGCAGATCCGTCTTCATCTTTGAAAATAGCAAATCTGTCTGCCCATTGCTTCTTTAGTCTCCTATTGAGACGGTTTCTCTTTCGATTCCTGTAGTTCCTCCTCCGTTTGGCGCATCTTTCCATGGCTAACTGGTGATTGGACACTCGTTGGGATACCCCATAAACTTCTCCATTTGGCCCAACGTGTAGCATCTGATATGGATTTAAAAGATCCTCCATGATAATTTTAAAATTCAATTTTTAGAAAATGGTTAAAGAACTCTAACAAATTGAATTTTCAGAGAGAGAATGTAGAGGAGAGAGATAAAACTTGGCTTAATGGAGATGAAAAATTTCGAGTGAAGTGACTACTCGTATATATAATCACTCTTGCATCACTCCTTGACGGTTGAAATTCTCCGTTACTTTAATACTTCGTGGTGAAACCACGTAACTCTCCAATTCTTGAAAGTTATTTATCAAAAAATCATACTAAGGGGAATGAATTTTGAAATAAACCGTCACAGAAATTACATGGTATTTTCAAATTTCAAGTTAATAAATTACTGATCATTTAAATATTTTGGGAATTTAGAAGTGTATTTTCAATTAAATGTCAATAAATATAGTTGTCTATCACTTCATTAATCGTGAAAATAATTATAATTATTACCCATATATATTAATTTCTAGAAAAATCAAAATATGTTGTGTGGGTACAATTATAATGATTCAATTGTATTGCCCGGTCACATGAACAAAATATTCATAACTTGCATTGGATATATAATATATATATATATATATACATAAATGAGATCTTGAACTAGCTTGAATAATATGACCTGCAAACTAATCTGAGTCGTCCATCGCGTTAGATCTAACAGTCTACATTATGCCCGCCTCTTTAAGGGTATTTTAGTAAATTAGTGTCATGAATGACTTCCGCCCTAATGTTTTTGCAACTTCTTTCCTTTCTCTCTCTTCTTCTGACTTTCTCTCTTTACCTTCTAATTCTCTAAATGGCGATTTTGTTCTTCGATTTCGCTAATCTATTTCTTCGATTTTGCTTATCTATTTTGACGAATTCTTCGATTTCTTTCATCACGTTGTAGTATTCGGTGTGAATCCACCGTTTCTGCAGAGGTAATTTTTGGATTTTTTTTAATTGAGTGTTTTCTATTTATTAGGGTTTTTCTATACTTTTTTTATTTATACAGTTCTTTGATTTGTATTATTGAGTTTATTAGGGTTATTGATTCGATTACTATTTTCTCTCTTTATTCAATTTCGTTTATTAGGTTTTTTTTCAGTTTGGTTTTGTGTTCTTTACTAAATTTAGGTTGAATATGATACAATTTTCGTTTAGCAAGATCTGAAATTTGTTTGTGATTATATTGATTTCAGTTTTGTATTTGATAATTTGATAGGTATGGGTGTCGGTGCATTTGGAATATTGCAATAATATAGGATTTAATTGTTGTTATTGGGGTATTTTCTAGAGTTTTAATTTAGTTCTTCATGTAATCTAATTGAACTTTCAAACTTCAAGTATATCAATGAAGTAGTGACTTTTATGATTTTGTTGTGTATAAGTTCAGTGATTTGCTATTAAATTCAAGTTTGTGGAATGAATTAAGATGGATTCATTGACATTGTTTAATCATTTTGGAGGCTAAAAAATTATCGGTGGACTATATATAGTCTGATACTCTGATTAATTAGATTTAAACCATGTGCCTCGACATTGATGTTACTAGATGCTATTGGTTGTTTTAATTTATGAATAGGTTCTCCATTCCATAAGATGTCCATTTATATTATTGTATACTTGGTTGAATTTTCTGTTGTATTTGACTTAATTTGATTTTTGAATCAAGTTTTTACTACTTTGATTGGGGAAATTAAGGTACTCAAAATTTCAGAGCTATATGTTTCTATTGAGTATTTGATAACTAAATTCAAACTAGGTTATGATATTTTTGGTTATTTAATCTACTTTAGAGTGTATATTATTTACTTTTAAGTTGATTGTTGTTGTCGCGTTGAGTATTTGGTTGTGTGGTTGTGATGTATGTTAATAGCTGTGTGGGAATTTCGGTTTGGAGTAAGGAAAATGGAGTTATTTTGCCTACTTCAACAATGCCCAACTTCAAACAGCAAAAGATGCAGGAATCATAGCTAGATTTGTGCTCTTATTAGCGGATCCAAGATTTGAATGAGATTGATAGTAAATTGATTAGATATTTGAAGATGCACGTGGCCATCTATGTAAATTGAATGGCCATGTTGGCTTTAAGGAATATATTGATCTTGGACCTTATATGGATTGTAGGTGCTAGCCTAATCCTATACTTTATTGTTCATTCTTGTTTTATGCAATTGTTTACATTTTTTGTGTGCACATTTGCCCCTTAATTTGCTTGTTTGCCCATACATGTGATTTTTGTTGTTTGAATATACCTTCTGCTGTATGTGTGTGCTCCTTGCACATCCAATTGATAGTTGTCTTTTTAGGCTAATGGAAACCGGATAATGTTGTATGTAGTCCTAACGTACACCAATTATTAGCACATGGATATTATTCTATAGCTTGAAGGTCTTATATCTTGTGGTTCGTGGGAGCAATAACTTCCTACTTCTATCTTCTGAATTTCTATCTGAAGTCTTTTTTTTCATGAATGAACCTGTTAGGAGATAGATGTTAGGTTTTGCGATGTTCGACATCGCGCGGAAACAAAACTCGGAAACCAGATCACATGCATAAAAATTACAACATGAACAAAAGCATGCAAAAAAATAAAACACGAACACAAAAAGAGAAGGGAGAGAAAGAAACTCACCCTAGACGCGTGCTTCGCTCATTTAATGAGCTCGGACTTGAAAGCTTCAAGCTTCGCAAGTGCGAAACCTCCGACGGTTCACACCCTCGCTCACCGAATTAGAACTGGTCTCTACCCCGTAGCTTAGACGGGGCTAGCAAAAACTAATTTAGAGTTTACAAACTAAGGTTTTCTCGCTTTTGGAGATCCCTTAGAGTTCACCAACTCAAGTGAAAATCCCAATACCCAATGATTGGTATTTAGAGGGAAATGTCTCCATGATTTCCCATCATCTTTCAATGTGGGATAGTTGGTAAATGCCAAAAGAAAGAATTAATTTAATTCTAAATTAAAATTAAATTAAAATGGCAAGGCAATCATCAAACATCAAGTAGCACAAGGTGAGCAAGGGGGTAGGTGAGGACCACAAGGGGAGGACCACCTTCCCCTTGCTCCCCAAGTAAACAACCCCTCACAAACTGGTGCAATGGGAGGCGGCCACTTGGCAGCCCACCTTGGGCACCAAGGCAACCATGCTGGCGTTTAGTCCCTCGGCTGGGCTTGCCCAGCTGGGCCTTGCCGCATCAGCTCGCAACAGCAAGCCACGCATATGCGGGCTGCTTGTTGCTGGGGAGCTGGTGCTACTACGCACCAAGCTCAGTGCTAGTAGCTTGTGCCTGGCGCGTGAGCTGCTTGGCGTGCTAACCCGCATGCACGCTGGGGTATGATGCCACGCCTTGCCATGCATGCGATGTATGCTGGGCTTGCGGCTAAGCATTGCCTTGCGGTAAGGTGCTCAGCTAGCTATGTTGGCCCACCTAGCCCTCAATTGGCTAGGCCATATCGAGGCTAGGATTTTCACGTGCGTTAACTTGTTTGAATGATTTTTCCGTCTTGACGAATCCCAAATTTAAGCTCGGCTTCAACGCTCTAAGCTCGAAATCCGATGTCTTAGTTCGTAAAATCTCTATCGACTCATTTAACCCTTCCGATTAATTCGTTGCTTTGGTTCGGTTACACGATTGGGTGTGACGCGAAGGGTTCGGTCAAGAGCAACCTGATCGAAAGCGGCCTCCAGCTAGGCATTCCGATCACTTGACCTCACTGAATAATTAGTTTTTCTAATTAATTTCGAACCCTCTATCGGAATAATCACTTGTTCGAAGGACACCATTCCTTTCAATAGTTTGATACCTGCATCTGATTATTATTGATATTTTAAAATAGTAGTGAATTTAGAAGTGATGTGTGGTGTCAAATATGCAATATGGATAACTACATAGCTAAATGATTGCGTTAGGAATCAATTGGAGATGGTGGCTAAAATTGTCAGTCACCATATGATTTTGCTGTAAGGAAGAGAGTAGTGGTTAATGTATTGTGTTTGGTTGACTCTGATTCTGATGTTGGAAAACAAGAAATTGTACTACGTATAATATATACATGTTTTGATTTACTTTTGAAGTTTTTTCATTTACTTTTGAGGTTTTTTTTTTTTTTTTTTTTTGAAAAAAAATAATCGAATGTGAAATATACGCTAGCCTACTAGCTCAATCGATAGAGCATTGTGCAATTGCACAAAAATGTGAGTTCAAATTCTACGTAGTTTCATTTGTGCAAACTTTTTTTTTTTTTAGTTTTTGTATTGTTTTATTAACTTTTATTTAAAAACTTTTACTTTAACCTTATATACTTTTTTTATATTTAATATTTTTTACTTTGTAAAGTGGGTTATTATTTGGCTCATCTTACCGTGATATAAAAGTGAATGACTCAGTTTGCTACGCTCATATATCACTTTTAATGATTTCATTATACATATGCTCTTAAAAAATTAGAAAAATTATTTACCTTTTTTTTTTATCTACTTTTGGTATTATTTTATTTACTTTAAATTTGCAACCTTTACATTAAAGTACATATAAGTCATTGACTCATACTCTCATACTCTATGTGTCAATGACTCATACTCTATGTGCTATAGCAAAGTAACAAAGTTTTCTAAGTCCTTAAAATTTATAAGTCAATTAATTGTATGTATACCTTAGAGCTAATTTGATTTACTTTTGTGTTATTTTGTTTTACTTTTAAGGTATTTTGAGTAACTTTAGAGGGTTTTATATTTATTTCTAGAGATAACCTATGTTGAAATTGAACTTACACCTCTATGCAGTTGCATAGTGCTCTACTACTTGAACTAATAGGTGTTTAGCACACCTGACAATAATTTATTCACCACAATGTGGCTAATCCAATTTTTTGAGTTTTTTTTTTTAATGTACTTTTGATACATTATTATCTACTTGTTATATCAATTTATTTACTTTTTAACAGTTTACGAAACTTACTAGACAATACATCGGAGTCAAAGTAGCATAAATCTTAACGCGCCCCCCCCCCCCCCCCCCCCCCCCCCCCCCACTCTCAAAGCTTAAAAAAAATGCCCCAAATCCAAACATCGAACTCACACACACCAAAGACAAAACATATATAACACAAAACAATCTTGTAAAAACACATCATATCTACCCCAAGAAACTCACGTACGCACACTAGCACAAATAGATAGCATTCTAAACCAATTGTTTAACGAAATAAATTTTTACATTATTGCACAGGTAAGCAGCACACCCACCAGGGCCAACACCACTCTTTAGAGACATTGGGCTAACAGTGACAGAAACGTAAACAGAGTCCTCAAACATCAAATCATACCAAATGAGCATATGTCATTTTGTCTGCTACTGCAACTTTTTTACTGTTTCAAAATCGGTTTCTGACTGCTATTGCTATTATTTTTTTTAAGCTAATTTGATTTACTTTATAGTTATTTTGATTTACTTTAGAAAATTTTTGAGTTACTTTAGTGTGTTTTGACACGAACTCTGCCAGCTACAGGTGGCACCCAAGAGCTCTCAGCAGCTGCCCATTCAAACTCCTCCCTGGATGTCTAAGAATACCTATCAATGTAGTTTTAATAATCCCCAACCAGCCAAACCGACCCCATGACTCCAACATCCCAATTCTGCCATTGCTTATTAAACACAACAGAGTTCCTATTAGACCACTCACCCAACACCAAAGACACATACAAACATCAAAAATTCCTCATTGTATGCATTAATTTACTTTAAGAGATGATTAGTATACTTTAAAAGAGATTTAATTTACTTTTTTGAGATTTATACTTAATTAAATAAATTATCTAATTAAAATGGACCTCAGATGGAACGTCAATATGTTTAAGACTTTTAATCACCATTAACAGACAACATATATAAATGATCTCTCTCAAGAATTTCGTCGAACAGTTGATATGCAAAGTTACAAATTAAGAACCTTCATTTATACTAATTAAATTATTCAACAATTAAATCACTGAGACACAAAAAACAGGAAAAATAATAGTAAATTTCAGAAACATTACTCGATTTCGTATAAAATTTCAACTTTAAACACCTTCAATTACACATAACCTCATTTTGAACAACTTTAAATTTCACCAGAAATCAAACTGAAAACACTAAAATAAGTTAGTAATTGCATAAATAACAGTTTAAACGTTATAATCTTCAAAGACTATCACAACATTATAAATCTAATTCAAATTAAAATTTGGATATAGTACCAAAATTTTCGAACTATTATCATGTAATTTCTGCAAAACGAGTTAGAATCAACAAGTAATTTACTTAAGCCGCTTCAATGGAGTAGTGAAAGCTCGAAAGTTGCTTCAATGGAGTAGAGAAAGCTCGACGACTGCTTTAATGGAGAATTCAGAGGCTCGTTGTAGTGAAGGAGAGAGAAAATGCTTGAGGAGAGAGAAAGTGCGCTTGATTTTTGGGAAATGAGTTGAATATTTGTGTTAGATCTGACGATCCAAAATAGTTCATAGTTCCTATTATTCGCCTAGTTTTCACGGTAACTCGGTTATATATATATATATATATATATATATATATATATATATATATATATATATATATAGAGGATCATATGAGACCACCCTCCTTATGTGAGAACCCTATTATATGTGAGGACATATTACAACCGTTGGATTAATTGCATCCAATGACTACAATTTATCCCAATCAAATGTAATTTCAAATACAATTTTCCAGCGTTTTCTCTCTCCTCCTTTATTCGAGGCGCCATTTTTCTCTCTCCTCCTTCAATTTCTCTGCTCCCTTCTTACTGCTCTCTTCCTTTGCTTTGATTCTTCATCAATTCTGCTTCTAACTTCATTGATTTTTTGTCAAGGTAATTTTCGTTGATTTTAGTTTGATTTTCGTTGATTAAAGTTTGATTTTCGTTGATTTTAGTTTGATTACTTAAGATTTTTGTCAATTTTTTTGCGATTTTTGGGGATTTTTGAACTTATTAGTTGATTTTAGTTTTAACTTTACTTCATTTGTTCATTTAGGGTTCTTTATAGTGTAATTCGAACTTTTATTTATAATTTCTGAGATTATGAATGGTTATAGAGATTGATTTTGTCAATTTTGGTACTTGCATTTCACTAATTTGTACTTAAATTTTGATGCACACTAAGTGTTTGACAATATTCCCCAATGAATCCTAT